TCAGTTTATGAAAACAATGTGTCTTGAGTGAATTCTCTTTAGTTTACAAGTCTTCAGAAACTTTTTAGATGGTCATAATGCAGTAGAGTATAACAAAGATTTTTCCTGTTTATTCTTTGATGGTTTAAATTTTTTTGTTGTTGGTTGTAAGGGCTTGAACACAGGGCCTGGGCGCTGTCCCTAAGCTCTTTTGCTCAAGGCTGGAGCTTTACCACTTCATGCCTTTTCTGTTTATATGGAACTAGGGAATTGAACCCAGGGCTTCCATGCATGCTAGGCAAGCATTCCCAGCTATAGGTTATTTGTTTTGTAGTCTTAGTGTGTCATTAGAGTTAACATTAGTTTACTGAACTGACAGATACAAAAATTCTTCATTGATATGTAGTTGTGCTGTTGTGGGATAGAAGTAACAATTTGCTTTTATCATGTTAATTTTGTCTTGTTAATTGTTTTTGTGTGTGTATATGTATGTGTATGTGTTTGTAGAGAGCTTGAACTAGTAAGCTTTTGTGCTTAACCCACAGCTACTACTTGAGTGAGCCACAGCTCCACTTGTGTGGCTCCACTTCCAGATTTTTGGTGGTTACTTGGTTAATTGGAGCTACTCAGGATTACAGGAGTGAGCCACTGGCTCCCACATTTGTTTGTTGTGTTTTTTTTTTTTTTTGTTGGTCGTGGGGCCTGAGTCCTGTCCCTCAGCTCTGCAGCTCAAGGCTGGCGCTCTACCACTTGAACCATAGAGCTACTTCCAGCTTTTTCTGCTTATGTGGTGCTGAGGAATCAAACCCAGGGCCTCATGCATGCAAGGCAAGCACTCTACCACTGAGTCACCTTCCCAGCCTGGTTGTTAGTTTTGATAGAACATTACTGTTTCCTTTGGCAGAAATTTCTTCGTTGGAACTTTCAGTACTAAGAATTGAAAACCTAATAATTAGTTATCCTTATCCCTGGAAATGGTTCTTTCCAAATGAGATGGGAGAAATAAGATGGGATAAAGCTTGTTCTGTTTGTTGAACAGATAAACAATGGAAAGTAGGCAGAAAACTTAATTCGAGAACTGTAACCTTTTAAGCCTAGTTGACACTACAATATGAGTCTTTCAGTTCCTTTATTCAGCTGACACACATTAGATGTGATAATATCATTAAACCAAAGGGATTAAAACAGGTTAGAATTTCCTTGTGTTTTACTCTGCACTGCATGGAAACCACTATTCTTTGAGCAGTTACGTTAACAGCCTTCTTCATATAAGGTCATAGTTGCAGGTGATTATTACGGGAGATACTTGAAGAAAAGTTTCACCTTTTTGGGGGTACTCCCAGAATTGAAGGAGAAATAACTAGGGAATTAGGAGGCCAGGGTTCTTGTCCTTGATTTACAGTTCGCAGGGTGGTCTTCGTTAAGTCATTTTAGCCTCTGAGCCTTGAGTATCTTAAAAACTTTTTTTTTTTTTTTGTGATATTGGGGTTTGAATTCAGGACCTTGTTTAAGCAAGTGCTCTACTATCCCTTGACCAAAGCCTTTCTTTCCACCCTTCCTTCCTTCCTTCCTTCCTTCCTTCCTTCCTTCCTTCCTTCCTTCCTTCCTTCCTTCCTTCTTTTTCTTTTCCTTTCTTTTCTTTTGTTTTTGGGGGACTGATTTTTGCCTTGGCTTACTTTAGACTGAAGTATCCACCTAGTCTTTGCCTGCCAAGCAGCTTGGATTACAGATGTGCTTTTACTATACCATTTTTTTTTCAAGTTTTTTTTTTTCCCCCTCCAAGTTTTTAAAAAGTTAAGGGAAAACAAGGCACTGGTGGCTCACACCAGTAATCGTAGTTACTTGGGAGGCTGAAATCTGAGGATCATGGTTTGAAGTCAGCCTATGCAGGAAAGTCAGTGAGACTGTTATCTCCAAATAACCACCAAAAAGCCTGAAGTGGAACTGTGGCTCAAGTGGTGGACCACTAGCCTTGAGCAAAAAAGCTCTGGAACAGCACCTAGATGCTAAGTTTAAGCTCTAAAGTGGCTATGTTTGGTGGTACAATTAGAATTATAAGTTAAAGAGGGGTCTTCTGTATTTCTTTTTTCTTCTTCTTTTTGGTCAGTTATGGGGCTTGAACTAGGGGCATGGGTGCTGTCCCTGAGCTCTTGTGCTCTAGACTCGTGTTCTACCACCTTGAGCCACAGTGCCACTTCTGGTTTCTTGGTGTTTAGTTGTAGATGAGTCTCAGGGATTTTCCTGCCTGGGCTGGCTTTGAATTGTGATCCTTAGATCTTCAGCTTCCTGAGTAGCTAGAATTACAGGTGTAAGCCACCAGGGCCTGTTTTTTTTTTTTTTTTTTTTTTAATGTTTGCTTGTGGAAGTTTTATGTCTTTACAGTAGTGAGTAAACTCATTTTGCTGAGATACTATTGAATTGGTGTTTTTAGAATGCTCTTTTGAATTTCATATGTAGTTTTCATATTTTAGGAATATTTTAGTTTTATGTTTGTGTCCATGGTGATATAACTTACAAAATAAGTAAGAATACCATTAATGCATTTAAGAAAATAATAAAAGACGAGAATAGAAGAATAGGTTTGGAAATTTCTATGCCTGAGTTCTTCCTCTCCTCCACCCTCACCCCCCCACCCTCCAAATTGTGCTGGGGCTGAGCCTCATCACTTGAGCCACAGCTCCACTATTGGATTTTTGGTGGTCTCACAGATTTTGCTGCCTAGGCAGTGTTCAGCCTTCTCAGTAACTAGGATTACAGGTAGCCACTGGTAATCTCCTAGGCCTCAGTTCTTCCCTGTATTTCAATGTCTTCCTCAAATGGCCTATATATAACCCATATTTTTCATGTCTGTATCTGATTACAGTCTTTTTTTAAGAGACATTATTTGGGGGTAGAGTGTTTATAATAGGACCTGGGGCTTTTTTTGGGGGGGGTCCAGTCATGGGGCCTGAACTCTGGGCCTGGGCGCTGTCCTTCAGCTTTTCAGCTCAAGGTTAGCGCTTTACCACTTGAGCCACAGCGCCACTTCCGGCTTTTTTCTTTTTTCTTATGTGGTGCTGAGGAATGGAACCCAGGGCCTCATGCATGCAAGGCAAGCCCTCTACCACTGAGCCACCTTCCCAGCCCTGTACCTGGGGCTTTGTTCATATAAAACAAGCACATTTTCACTGATCTATATGCCAAACTCATTTTTTTGGCAATGGTACCAAGTCTTGAACTCAGGACTTTTTCCCTCTTTGTTCACTGCTGACACTCAAACATTTGAATCACACTTCTAGCCCAGTTTCTTTGTAGATTAATTGGAAGTGAGACTATCTAGTCAACTTTTCTGCCTTTTTCCTATCTAGCTGGCTTTGAACTATGATCCTCAGATCTCAGCTTCGTGAGTAGCTAGATTTACAAGGATGAGCCACCGGTGCCCAGCTACCACTTGAAACTTTTTTTTTTTGGGTCCAGTCATGGGGCCTGAACTCTGGGTCTGAGTGCTGTCCCCCAGCTCTTCAGCTCAAGGTTTTTTTTTTTTTTTTGGTCGGTCGTGGGGCTTGAACTCTTGGCCTGGGCGCTGTCCCTCAGCTCTTCAGCTCAAGGCGAGCGCTCTACCACTTGAGCTACAGCGCCACTTCCGGCTTTTTTCTTTTTTTTTTTTTTGCTTGTGTGGTGCTGAGGAATCGAATCTTCAGCTCAAGGCGAGCGCTCTACCACTTGAGCTACAGCGCCACTTCCGGTTTTCTGGTGGTTTATTGGAGATAGGAGTCTCACAGTCTCTCTTGCCCGGGCTGGCTTTGAACCGTATCCTCAGATCTCAGCCTCCTGAGTAGCTAGGATTACAGGCGTGAGCCACCAGCGCCCGGCTTCAGCTCAAGGTTTTAGCGCTCTATCACTTGAGCCACAGCGCCACATCCGTCTTTTTTCTTTTTGCTTATGTGGGTGCTGAGGAATTGAACCCAGGGCCTCAGGCATGCAAGCAAGTGCTCTACCACTGAGCCACCTTCCCAGACCCTTGAAATTTATTTCCAGTTAACCACTAAAAAGCCAAAGAGGAGCTGAAGCTCAAGTGGTAGAGCACTACTTGAGTAAAAAAACTTAGAGACAGTACCCACGCCTTGAGTTCAAGACCACCAAAACAAACAAACAAAAAAAACACAAAAAACAAACTTCATGAACCCAGTTTGGAAGAAAATACAAACTTTTTTTTTTTTGGGTCCGGTTGTGGGGCCTGAACTCTGGGCCTGGGGGCTGTCCCTCAGCTCTTCAGCTCAAGGCTAGCGCTCTACCACTTGAGCCACAGCGCCACTTCGACTTTTTTCTTTTTGCTTATGTGGTGCTAAGGAATCAAACCTGGGGTCTCATGCATGCAAGGCAAGCGCTCTACCATTGAGCTACCTTCCCAGCCCCGAAAATACAAACTTTTGAGTCTCAATTCTTATGTATGTATACAAGGATGTTAAATTCCAGTTTGTTTTTTTAAGGTTCTGGGTATATCCTTTTGTCCTGTTCTTTATAGATGACAATAATTAAAATTGGTGACATTTCACTTGTTTTGGCTCTTAAAAATGCAGTATTTGAGGCTCAGAAGGCGGTTCAGTGGTAGAGTGTTTGCCTGAGGCCCTGGGTTTGATTCCTCAGCACCATATAAGCAGAAAAGGCCGGAAGTGGCACTGTGGCTCAAGTGGTGGAGCTCTATCCTTGAGCTGAATTACTGAGGGACAGCGCCCAGAGTTCAGGCCCTATGACAACCAAAAAAAACCCAAAACAATAGTATTTGGGCTAGGAATGTGGCTTAGTGGTAGAGTGCTTGCCTGGCATGCATGAAGCTCTTAGGTTTGATTCCTCAGTACCACATAAACAGAAAAAGCCAGAAATGGTGATGTGGCTCAAATGGTAGAGTTCTAGCCTTGAGCAAAAGAAGCTCAGGGACAGCACCCAGGCCCTGAGTTCAAGCCCCAGGACTGGGGGTGAAAACACAGCATTTACTTAAGGCTTCATGTTTGCTTTTATCAATCTTCATTTTATTTATGCTTTTCTTTTCTAGGTTTTTCGTTGGAATATACGTTGCACATTTATGGCGATTCTGAGTGTGAGGGCAGACTTCTGCCAGGCTCAGCACAGCACTCTTGCTGACAAGTGAGCTTGGAGGTTCTATGTGCCATAATTACATTGCCTTGAAGAATCTGGACACCGAGACTGGCCTCAGAAATAGTTGGCTTTTTGTTTTAATTGAAAGCAAATTTCTTTTAATGACTCCAGTAAAATTAAATATCAAGTAAACAAAAGTGGAAAACAAACTACACTTTTAACTTGTCTCACTAGTGCCTACATGTAGTAAAGGCTGCTTAAGTTTTTGTAGTTGGATCGTTTTTTTTTGGAGTCGGAGGTATCCGTCTGCAGACATTGAGGCCCAAGTTGAATTTGGATTCAAGTGGATGCTAAACACTTCTGCCTATCTTGAAGAAAGAAGCTTCATAAGGAATAAACAAGTCGAATAGAGAAAATACTGGTCAATAATAGGCATTTTAGTGGTCTTTTTAATGTTTTCTGCTGTGAAACATTTCAAGATTTATTGATTCCCCCACTCCCACCCCATTTTTCCCCTTTACACTCACACAAGCACGCTCACACTTTTTATTTGCCATAATGAACCGTCCAGCCCCTGTGGAGATCTCCTATGAGAATATGCGCTTTCTGATAACTCACAATCCTACCAATGCTACTCTCAACAAGTTCACAGAGGTAAGATTGTAGTAGACTCTGCTGTTTTGGGTTGATTTATAGTTTTAACAGCATTTAAATTTTCCTGTAATTGAATTGAAATATAGATTATTTATGCTATCAGTTCTGCTTTGAATTATAATAGATTAAAAAAAATGGAATTTGGAAATGCCATAAAGATTATCTAGGCTGTCCTTTTTTTTCTTTCTTAGTCTATTCTGGGGCTTGAACCTCAGGGCCTGGGTACTGTACCTGAGCCTCTGTGTTCAAGGCTAGTGCTCTCTCTTGAGACACAGTGCCACTTCGGTTTTTGAGTGGTTAATTGGAGAAAAAAGTCTCACGGGGACTTTTCTGCCCAGGCTGGCTTTGAACCTCGATCCTCAGATCTCAGCCTCCTGAGAATTAACCTTTCTTCACTTTATCACCCAAACAAAGGCAGAATTGGGGAAATTCAGTCAAGACAAAGCCCTTGCTTCAGGTTCAGTTCTTCTTGTTTGGGGTGATGTTGTTGGGGGCTTTTTCCTTCATCCCCTCAGCCTGACAGAGCCCACAGCCCTATGTTTAAACTTTTATACCAGTCTCATCTTAATTTCTTAAAAAATATCTTCAATGAGCTGCTCTCTTGCTATTGAAAATTAGCCTGTGGCACAAGGACTGATTTGTTGGTTTTTTTTTTTTTTTGGTGGGTCATGGGGCCTGAACTTGGCCTCGGTGATGTCCCTGAGCTCTTCAGCTCCAGGCTAGTGCTCTACCACTTGACCCACAGTGCCACTTGCAGCTTTTTCTGCTTATATGGTGCTGAGGAATTGAACCCAGGGCCCTCATGCATGCAAGGCAAGTACTGTACCACTGAGCCACCTTCCCAGCCCCTTAATCATAACTGTAATAAGTATTTTTATTTTTAAACAGAAGCATATTTTGACACAGATGTACTATTCAAGCCACATTTTGGCTTAAGGAAAAATTTCAAAGTACTGAAAAAATCTTTAATCTTATTTTTCTTTTCTTTTCTTTTTTTTTGTCAGTCCTGGGGCTTGAACTCTGGACCTGAGTGCTGTTCTTGAGCTCTTCAGCTCAAGGCTAGCGCTCTAACACTTTAGCTATAGCACCACTTCTGGCCTTTTCTGTTTATGTGGTACTAAGTAATCAAACTGAGGCATGCTAGACAAGCATTCTACAACTGAGCTACATCCCCAGACTGGAATTCTCATTTTCATTCTTACCATAAGAATTTGGAATACAACCAATCTTTTGATGGATGACAATTACAGAAGCTTTCTTTTTTTTTTTTCCTGGGTGCTGGTCCTGGGGCTTGAACTCAGGGCCTAAGGGCTAACTCAGTGTTTTTGCTCAAGGCTAGTGCTCTGCTACTTGAATCTCTACTCCACTTCTGGCTTTTTGATAGTTTTTGATAGTTCTAGCTTTCCTGCTTGGTCTGGCTTTAAATTGCCATCTTCTGATCTTGCCCTCTTGTGGGTAGTACAATCCTGGGTTGAGGTTCATTTTAATTGGGGGGGGTGTGTGTGGTTTGCGCAGTTTGTGCATCAAATGTGGGACGAGTTGTCTGCCACTGAGCTGTACTTAGTCCTTGTATTTTAAAGTTTATTTATTGATATATTTGGGGGTTGGGTGGGTAGTTAGTGCTGGGGCTTGAACTCTGGGTCTGAGCACTGTCTCTAAGCTTCTTTTTACTTAAGGCTAGTGCTCTTAAGCCATAGTGCCACTTTTTTTAATAGTTTATTGGAGATAAGAGTCTTTTCTGTCTAGGCTTCGAACCATGATCCTCTCAGATCCCAGACTCCTGAGTAGCTAGGCTTACAGGTGTGAGCCACTGACACCTGGCTAATTTATTATTTTAAATTAAATGTATGTACTGGAGCTTGAACTCAGGGTCTGAGCACTGTCCTTTAACTTTTTTGCTCAAATATGCTACTCTACCACTTGAGCCATAGCTCTTTTTCCAGCTTTTGGAGTCTCACAGACTTGCCTGCCCAGACTGGCTTCAAACTGTGATCCTCAAATCTCAGCCTCCTAAGTAGAGTTACAAGTGTGAAGCACCAATGCCTGGTTTAAAATTTATTTTTAACATTCCTAACTGAATATAGTACTTCTGTCTTTCCTGTGTCCAAATGATAAGAAGTCCTTTAGCAATATTAATAGCTTCTTTCTGGAGATACTTAGTGTTGAATACTTTTTATATGATAATAATCACTGTCCAACTGTTCATGATTGATTTATATTTACCATTCTCTGAAATTCTATTTTTTTTTTTTGGTGGTGCTTGAGCCACAGCACCACTTCCGTTTTTCTATTGATTTATTGGAGAGAAGAGTCTCATGGACTTTCCTGCCTGGGCTGGCTTAGGACAGTGATCCTCAGATCTTAGCCTCCAGAGTAGCTAGGATTATAGGCGTGAGCCACCAATGCCCAGCTGAGATTTTTTTTTGTCTCTTTGAACACAAGGCTTTTTATGGGTGAAGGAAGCATTTTACCATTGAGCTATATCTGTAGTCCCTTAGGAAGAGTTTTAAAAGAGCAGGGCACTATAATTGTGCATTAGTCAACCTGGGGCTGTCCCTGAGCTCTTCAGCTCAGTGCCACTTCTTGCTTCATCTGCTTATGTGGTGCTGAGGAATCGAACGCAGGGCCTCATGCATGCAAGGCAAGCACTCTACCACTGAGCATCACTTTCCCAGCCCTGTATCTGGCATTTTAAAACACTACTTTTCCCAGTTTCAGAATTGCCTTTTTTTTTCTTTCTCACCAGTCCTGGGACTTGAACTCAAGGCCTGTGTCCTGTCCTTGGGCTACTTTACTTTTTGGTTGGTTGTAGGACTTGAACTCTGGGCTGTCCCTCAGCTCTTCAGCTTAGTGCTAGCGCTCTACCACTTGCACCACAGCACTGCTTCCGGTTTTCTAGTGGTTTATTGGAGGTAAGAGTCTCACGGAGGGCTGGGAAGTTGGCTTAGAAACAGAGTGCTTGCTTTGCATGCATGAGGATCTCAGTTCATTTCCTCAGCACCATATAAGCAGAAAAGGCTGGAAATAGAGGTGTGGCTCAAGTGGTAGAGTGCTAGCTAGCCTTGAGCTGAAGAGCTGAGGCTGAGGGACAGCGCCCAGGCCCAGAGTTCAGCCCTCACAACTGACAAAAACCAAAAAACAAGAGTCTCATGGACATTACTGCTCAGACTGGCTTTGAACCATGATTATCAGATCTCAGCCTCCTGAGTAGATAGGATTATAGGCGTGAGCCACCGGCGTCCCACCCTGAGCTATTTTTTTGCCCAAGGTGAGCCCTCTACTGAGGGCTCTACCACTTGAGCCACAGTGCTGCTACTTCAGGCTTTTTTTTGAGTAGTTCATGGGAGATAAAGAGTCTCACAGAAGTTTTTGCCTGGACTGGCTTCAAACCACAAGTCCTAAAACCTCAGCCTCCTGAGTAGCTAGGATTACACGCATGAGCACCTGACTTCAGAAGTGCTTTTATGTATTGTTTCTTTAAAACAAACAAAAAAGCTGGGTGCTGCCAGTGGCTCAGGTAAGATCCTTCTTGAAAAATAGCTAAAGCAAAAAAGGCTGGGGTGGGGCTCAAGTGGTACAGTGCATACTTGAGGCAATGTTCAATCCCTATAATTGCAAAAAATAAAACACAAAAACCTCCAGTGTTTTTTTTTGGGGGGTGGGTCCGGTCGTGGGGCCTGAACTATGGGCCTGGGCGCTGTCCCTCAGCTCTAAAGCTCAAGGCTAGTGCTCTCTACCACTTGACTCACAGTGCCACTTGCAGCTTTTTCTGCTTATGTTGTGCTGAGGAATTGAACCCAGGGCCTCAGGCATGCAAGGCAAGCGCTCTATCATTGAGCCACCTTCCCAGCCCCCTCCAGTGTTTTATTATGTAAAAATCAAAAGATTACGGGGAGCCAGCAGCTCATGCCTGTACTCCTAGCTACTAAAGAGGCAAATACGAGGATCAGGGTTCAAAGCCAGTCTGAGCAGATAATTCCGCTAGACTCTTATCTCCAATAAACCACCAGAAAACCAGAAGTGGTGCTATGGCTCAAGTGTTAGAGTGCTTGCCTTGAGCTGAAGTGCTTAGGGATAGCGCCCAAACCCAGAGTTCAAGCCCCATGACCGCCCACCCCACCTCACCCCCCAAAAAAATCAAAAGAAAAGCAAAGTAAGCAAAGAAAATTAAAAGCAAAGTAAGCCAATTTAGTAACAATTGTTAATAACTGATTCTAGATGTTTTTCTATATATGTATATGTGTTTGTAAATACATACATAGATAGGCTTAGGCTATGTAGGTTTTTTTTAACTTCCCACAATCTCCTTAGTATTTATTAGCTGTCACAGTATACACTACAGTTAATGTTTTACTTTTAACTGTTCCCTCAGTTTGGACCATTAATATAGCTTCTACCTCTTCACCATTCTAAATAGTCTGGTGAATATGCCACTACCTAAATCATGTATGTCTTTTTTTGGGGGGGTCCGGCTGTGGGGCCTGAACTCTGGGCCTGGGCGCTGTCCCTCAGCTCTTCAGCTCAAGGCTAGCGCTCTAACACTTGAGCCACAGCACCACTTCTGGCTTTTTTCTTTTTGCTTATGTGGTGCTGAGGAATCGAACCTAGAGCCTCAAGCATGCAAGGCAAATACTCTATCACTGAGCCACCTTCCCAGCCCCTCATGTATGTCTTTAAAAAGATTATCTTTCTATACATTCTTAGAAATAGAATTTCTAGGTCAAAATGTGACCTTAAAACATTTGTGAGCCAGGTGCTGGTGGCTCCTCAGGAGTCTGAGATCTGAGGATCGTGGTTCAAAGCCAGCCCAGACAGGAAAGTCTGTGAGACTCTTATCTCCAATAAACCACTAGAAAACTGGAAGTGGTGCCGTGGCTCAAGTGGTAGAGCGCTTGCCTTGAGCTGAAGAGTGCAGGGACAGTGCCCAGACCCAGAGTTCAAGCCCCACCACTGACACCCCCCCCCCAAAAAAAAAAAAGGTCTTTGTGGCTGAGCACCACTCGTTCACTCTTGTAATATGGCTACTCAAAAGGCTTGAGGTCTCACAGTTCAAAGCCAGCCCAGGCAAGAGAGAATGACACTGATCTTCATTTAACCATTAAGCCACTGAGCGCCAGTGGCTGGTTCCTGTAATCTTAGCTACTCAGGAGGCTGAGATCTGAGGATTAAGTGGCTGAGCTATTGCCTTCAGTTTGCCTTCAGCTGAAAGATGAGGGACGGTGCCAAGGCCCATGACCAAAAAAAACAAGTTGGGAGTGGAGCTCTGGCTCAAGTGGTAGAGTGCTAGCCTTGAACAAAAAAGTTTAGAGGCATTGCTTAGCCCCTGAGTTCAAAGACTGGCACACATAATTTAATGCTCAGGCCTATAATCCTAACTTCTCGAGATCTGAGGATTGCGGTTCAAAGCCATTCCGGGGCAGGAAAGTCATTGCTTAGCCCCTGAGTTCAAAGACTGGCACACACAATTTAATGCTCAGGCCTATAATCCTAACTTCTCGAGATCTGAGGATTGCGGTTCAAAGCCATTCCGGGGCAGGAAAGTCTGTGAGACTCTTCTCCCCAGTTAACTGTTAAAAAAAAAACACCCAGAAGCTGAGCTGAGGCTCAAATAGCCTTTGGAAAAAAAGTCATTTGTCTCCCACAGAGTATATATAAGTCTCTGTTGTATATGTTACTACAGTGTGAATGATTTTGATCTTTGTCTAAGAAAGATAACCTCATACTTCCAGAAACAAATGAAATTAGCTGGTACACTTTGCCAAAGTAGATTTAATTATTTCACCTTACAGTAATATGTTTCTAAAGCTTTGGTTACAGATTCTAAAAGCAAATTCCCTTTATAATTGTTTTTCTTTAAAGGAACTTAAGAAGTATGGAGTGACAACTTTGGTTCGAGTTTGTGATGCTACATATGATAAAGCTCCAGTTGAAAAAGAAGGAATCCACGTTCTAGTGAGTGTGTAATGTTTTGTTACATATAAGTTATACCTTTAGCATAGATAGTTATAAAACTTGACACTTAGTACTTGTTACTTTTAAGATTATAGTGATTTTTATATAATATATAATATTTTATAGTGATTTTTAAAATTTCTTTGGATCAATAAATTGACAGTTTGGTTCATTTGTGTACAAGTCTACAAATTCAGAGTATTTTCAACAAAAAGCAAATTTTAGTGCACACATTTCAAGAAAATGGAAATTAGCGTTTTATATTCTGTAGGAAATTTAGTATTTTATTTTTAGGCTAATAGCTTGAATATAAAAAAGTAGTTAATGTTTTTAGGGGGCTGGTACTGGGATTTGAAGTCAGCCTGAGTTCTCAGCTTTTTCTGCTCAAGGTTAGTGCTCTACCATTTGAACCACATCTCCACTTCTGACTTTTTGTTGGTTAATTGAAAATAAAAGTCTCAGATTTATCTGCTTGGGCTGACTTCAAACCTTGATTCTCAGATCTCAGCTTTTTAGTAGCCAGGATTGCAGTCATGGCCACTGGTGCATGGCTAACAGATATTCTTACTTCACGTGTCACCTGCCACTATGCAAGTAGCGAGTTAGTTACTCAATATTTTGTGGATAATTGTAGAGAACTAAAAGGTGTGAGAAGAAAATAAGTAGAAAGAGCATCTTGCTCCAGAAGGATAGTATTCCGACATTCTGAGAAGCTTTTGTGGAGTAAGATTTCTTTTATAGTTCAGTTTGAATATAGTGATTAAAATTAATCTCATGAAATTCTTTTTTAGTACCTAAATATTGCTATTTCCTTACAGAAAACATGAACCTTGAATTAATTAAAATTTTATGTTTTCTTCCCTAAATGGTTGTCTAAATCACAGGAACAGCTTTTTTGTTGTTGTTTGTCGTGGGGCTTGAACTCTGGGCTCGGGCACTGTCGCTCAGCTCTTCAGCTCAAGGCTAGCACTCTACCATTTGAGCCACAGCACCACTTTCAGCTTTTTCTATTTATGTGGTGCTGAGGAATTGAACCCAGGGCTTTGTACATGTGAGGCAAGCACTCTACCACTGAGCCATTTTCCCAGTCCCCTGAGGTATTTATTGGAGATAAGAGTCTCACAGACTTCTCTGCTTGGGCTGGCTTTGAACTGCCATCCTCAGATCTCAGCCTCCTTAATAGTTAGGATTACAGGCATGAGCCACTGGTGCCCAGCTCACAGGAACAGCTTTTACGAGCATGTAATGAAATGACCTTTTAGTATCTATTCTTTTTGTGTCAGTCCTGGGGCTTGACCTCAAGGCCTGAATTTTCTTCAAGGCTAGCACTCTACCAGTTAAGTTATAACTCCACTTCCAGCTTTTTGGTGATTAATTGCAAATAAGAGTCTCATAGACTTTCCTGCCCCGGCTGGCTTCAAACTGCAGTCTTTAGATAACAGCTTTCCTGAAGAGCTAGCTAGCATTGTAGACATGAGCTACTAGTACCTGGCTAGTCCCTTGTTTTGTAGAGTTATTTGATTTGATTGTGAGAAAGCAATGTAGAATGATGAAACTGGAAATTTTTGTAAGTAATTAGAAAGTAATAAGGAAGGTAGTCCATCGATTCTGACCTTTTTTTGTGGGGGGGAGGGGAAGAAAGTATTGGTGGTTTTTGGCTTAGCCTGTACTTACCTAGATAAGGGCTTTGCCAGTTGAGCCATACCACTAATCCTTTTTGGTTGAGGTTAATTTTCAGTTTGCTTTTTTTTTTTTTTTTTAACTTTTTTGCTTGGAAGTAGGTTTGAGCTGTGATCCTACCTGTAGACTATGGTCTCTGCTGGGCAAAACAGCACTTGCCATACATACCTGTTTTTTTTTTTTCCTGCTTACGTGGTGCTGAGGAATTGAACCCAGGGCCTCATGTATGCAAGGCAAAAGCTCTACCACTGAGCCACCTTCCCAGCCCACATACCTGGTTTGTATTGAGATTACTCCTGAGCAGCTAGGATTAGGTGTGAGCCACAGGCGCCTGGCTTATATATTATTTCTGAACCATAAAATTTCCTTATTTCCCTTTTGATAAAAACGTAAAACTAAGCTGGGTGCTGGTGACTTACTCCTGTATTTCTAATTACTTAGGAGGCTGCGATTTGAGGATGGCAGTTTGAAGCCAGTCTGGGCAGGAAAGTTCCTGAAATTCTTTTTTTTTTGTCGGTCGTGGGGCTTGAACTCTGGGCCTGGGCGCTGTCCCTCAGCTCTTCAGCTCAAGGCGAGCGCTCTACCACTTGAGCTACAGCGCCACTTCCGGTTTTCTGGTGGTTTATTGGAGATAGGAGTCTCACGGTCTCTCCTGCCCGGGCTGGCTTTGGACCGCGATCCTCAGATCCCAGCCTCCTGAGTAGCTAGGATTACAGGCGTGAGCCACCAGCACCGGGCAAGTTCCTGAAATTCTTTATCTCTAATAAACTACTCAGAAAAATCTGGAAGTGACACTCTGGCTCAGGTGATAGAGCACTATCCTTGAACAAAAAGCAGCTTCGGGACAATGCCCAGGCTAAATTTCAGCATCAGGATAGACTTAACCAATAAAAACAAAGCCCATACATACATAGCCAAACACTGCTTTTTTTTTTTTTTTGGTTGGTCGTGAGGCCTGAACTCTGGGCCTGGGCGCTGTCCCTGCGCTCTTCAGCTCAAGGTGAGCGCTCTACTGCTTGAGCCACAGCGCCACTTGTTTTCTAGTGGTTTATTGGATATAAGAGTCTCCTGGACTTTCCTGCCCGGGCTGGCTTTGAACCTTGATCCTCAGATCTCAGCCTCCTGAGTAGCTAGGATTATAGGCGTGAGCCACTGGCGCCTGGCTTAAAATTTTTGTTTTAATAGTATAACATAATAATTTTCTTGTATTTCTATTTTAAATGATTTTATCTCAGTTAACTAAATACAAACGTATATGTAAAATAACGATTCTGTTTTGTTCTTGTTGTTGGCTTGTATTTTACGGTATTTGGGATTGAACTCAGGATCATATGTATGCTAACTAAGCAAGTACTCATTGAGGCATACCTCTGGCCTTAGCAATTTTTTTGTGGGGGGGGCCAGTCATGGGGCTTGAACTCAGGGCCTAAGTACTGTCCCTGAGCTTCTCTTGTTCAAGGCTAGCACTCTACCACTTGAGCCACAGCACCACTTCCGATGGTTTCTGTTTATGTGGTACTGAGGAATTAACCTCAGGGCTTCATGCATGCTAGGCAAGCTGTCTACCACTAAGCTACCTTTCCAACCCCAGCACTGTGTTTGTTTGTTTGTTTTTTAAAAATAGAAACAAGAATTTAAAACTCCGGTCTGGGAGAGTGGCTCAGTAGTAGAGTGCTTGCCTTGTATGCATGAGGTCCTGGGTTAGATTCCTCAGCACCACATAAGCAGAAAAAGCCGGAAGTAGTGCTGTGGCTCAAGTGGTAGAGCACTAGCCTTGAGTTGAAGAGCTCAGGGACAGTGCCCAGGTCCAGAGTTCAGGCACCATGACTGACCAAAAAAAAAAAAAGAATTTAAAACTCTGAAATTAACTGAATATAGTCAATTTCTTAGTACTATGAATATGTTTTCTAGTCTGTAGATGAGAAATGAACTTTTTTTTTTTTGGCCAGTCCTGGGGTTTGAACTCAGGGCCTGGGCACTGTCCCTAAGCTTCTTTTGCTCAAGCCTAGAACTCTCCTACTTGAGACACAGTGCCATTTCTGCCTTTTTCTATGTATGTGGTACTGAGAAATGGAACCTAGGGTTTCATGTATGTTAGACAAACACTCTACTACTAACTTAAGCCACATTCCCAGTCCAATGAATTTTTTTGATATATGATGGGGTGCGAAAGTAAATTTGGTTGATTATAATCTATTTGAATCAGTTATGTTGATAAACACCTTCATGAAATAGATATGAACTAGAAAACCTGAATCTAGTTTGTAGATGATAATGGTAGTTCTAAGATGTATTTCAGACCCTTTCAGCTTTTTTTTTTGTTTGGTTGTTTTAAATAGTTCTGATCAGATAAAAATCACTAACTCATGCTTGACTGAAATAAGGACATTTAGTGTTAAGCTCAGAATTTCTTTTTCCCACATATATTTAAGATGGAGTCTGAATTTACATTTTCGAGGGTTTGGAACATTTTACTATACGAGGATCTTCAATCCTTTGGATGCTTTTGCAAATTGAATAGATTAATTAATGGTGGTTTCAGCTGTGTTAGTTTGAGGTTTAGATACTTCTTTTTCTTTTTGTCGGTCATGGGGCTGGACCTAGGCACTATCCCTCAGCTCTTCAGCTCAAGGCTAGTGCTCTACCACTTGAGCCACAGCGCCACTTCTGGCTTTCTAGTGGTTTATTGGAGATAAGAGTCTCACGGACTTTTCTGCCCGGGCTAGCTTTGAACCGGGATTCTCAGATCTCAGCCTCCTAGTAGCTAAGATTATAGGCGTGAGCCACTGGCGCCCAACTAATACTTTCATTTTTAAAATTTTTTAAAATTTTTATTTATTTTGTCAGTTGTGGGGCTTGAACTCTGGGCTTAGGCGCTGTCCCTGCACTCTTCAGCTCAAGGTGAGTGCTCTACCGCTTGAGCCACAGCACCACTTCCAGTTTTCTAGTGGTTAATTGGAGGTAAGAGTCTCGGACTTTCCTGCCCGGGCTGGCTTTGAACCAAGACCCTCAGATCTCAGCCTCCTGAGTAGCTAGGATTACAGGGGTGAGCCACCGGCACCTGGCTAATACTTTCATTTTGGGGGGGTGTCCGGTCATGGGGCCTGAACTCTGGGCCTGGGCGCTGTCCCTCAGCTCTTCAGTTCAAGTCTAGATCTCTACCACTTGAGCCACAGTGCCACTTCCAGCTTTTTCTGCTTATGTGGTACTGAGGAATCAAACCCAGGGCCTCAGGCATGTAAGGCAAGTGCTCTACCACTGAGCCACCTTCCCAGCCCCCAATACTTTTATTTTTTAACTGGGCACATTAGGGTGTGGTAGAGGAAGTAAGTTCTCGACTAAAGTGCTTACCTGTCTTACTGCTATTTGCAGCTCTATTTGGTATTTGTAAACTCTAGTGACATTTATACTAATACATCCTTTTTAATTATAGGGCATAGTTGACAATTCAAACATAATGTGCTGTTATAGCTAATGGGGTATGTGAAATGTTGTAGTGTTGCCAGTGGGTAAATCAAAGTTAATTTAGTACTGTAGGTTTTCTCTTTCTAAAGTGCTTTTAGCCATTTTTTAAAATTACTTTAGATTTTTAGACATCTTAAAGAGTATTTTCAGAAGTTTTGTGACAAAAGTCAACATACAAAGATTACCTAGGACACACATACATGTGACACATATGTTAAAACACACATGCACTTGCCTATGCATCCACCTTTGCCTCAAAGTTAAAAAAAATTAAACCAAAAACTTCATTGGCTGTCTTTGAATTATATAATTCTGAGTATTCTTTCTACTTTTCAGTTTCCTTTGTGCACCTCATATTTGTCATTAGCCTTACTAACAAATGATGTTAGCAGCATATATAAGCTACTCCCAGGAAGCTAGGCCCAAGTTTCTCAGATCCTAGGTTGTTAGCCATTCTTATAATAATAGCCTTATGTGCCAGTCCTGGGGCTTGAACTCAGAGCCTAGGTGCTATCTCTGAGCCTTTTGAGCCACAGCTCTACTTCTGGCTTTTTTTTTTTTAATTCATTGGAGATCAGGTTTTCCTGCCTGGACTGACTTCAAACCATGATCCTTAGATCTTAGCCTCCTCAGTAGCCAGAATTGCAAGCCTGGCAGCCTTACATTATTATTTTTTTTATTATTATTATTGGGTCCGGTCGTGGGGCCTGAACTCTGGGCCTGGGCGCTGTCCCTCAGCTGAAGGCTAACACTCTACCACTTGAGCCACAGTGCCATTTCCGGCTTTTTTCTTTTTCTGTGTATGTGGTGCTGAGGAATCGAACCCAGGGCCTCATGCATGCAAGGCAAGCACTCTACCACTGAGCCATCTTACCAGCCCACATTATTTTTTAGGAGAAAGAAAAAAGTACCTAAGTGTTTTTGCATTTTCTGACCTTGGAAGAGGATAAAATTTGAATCCTGTGCATTTATGTGTTTGTTAGGACCTCCTACTAGGTTCAAGGAAGGTAAACTATATCAGTAAATGCAAGTAGGGTCAAAAGACAACACAAATTAATAAATAGCAAAAGAGAAAGGGCCAGGTACCCATGGTTCACACCTTTAATCCTGACTACTCAGGAGGCTGAGATCTGAGGATTCCAGTTTGAAACCAGCCTGGGCAGGAAAACTATGTGACTTTTTTTTGGGGGTGGGGTCCGGTCTTGGGGCCTGAACTCTGGGCCTGGGCGCTGTCCCTCAGCTCTTCAGCTCAAGGCTAGTGCTCTACCACTTGAACCACAGCGCCACTTCCGGCTTTTTCTTTTTGCTTATGTGGTGCTGAGGAATCGAACCCAGGGCCTCATGCATGCAAGGCAAGCACTCAACCACTGAGCCACCTTCCCAGCCCCCCTATATGACTCTTATCTCCAGTTAACCATCAGAAAACTGAAAGTGGACCTGGACTCAAGTAGTAGAATCAGCCTTGAGCAAAAAATCTCAGGGACAGTGCCTAGGCTCTTGTTCAAGCCCTAATACTAGTACAAAACTAAAAAGAGAAGGATATTTGAGAAAATGGTCACTATTTGCTCATGAACTTAATGAACTTTAACAATGTTAAACAACGTATCTATAATTTAAGCATAGATTTTTTTGTTGTGTGTGTGTGTGTGTGTGTGTGTGTGTGTGTTTGTGTGTTTTTAATGCCAATCCTGGGGCTTGAACTCAGGGCCTAGGGGCTGACCCTCATTTTTTTCTGCCCAAGGCTTCTTAGTGTTCTGCCATTTGAGTCACAGCTCTGCTTCCAACTCTTTGGTAGTTAATTGGAAGTAAGAGTCTCATAGACTTTCCTTCCCAGGTTGGCTTTGAACCATGATCCTCAGACCTCAGCCTTCTGAATAATTAGGACTACAGGTGTGAGCTACTGGGACCCACCTAGACATAGGTTTAAAAAATTGCCAGTGTGGTGCCTTATACCCCAGATACTAAGGAGGTAGAGATCAGAAGGATCTTAGTTGGATGCCAGCCTGAGCAAAACATTAGAGTCCTTATCTCAACCAATGAAAAGCTGGGCATACTGGTACACACCTGCCATCTTAGTTATACAGGAAGTACAGATAGGATTATGGTCCAGCTCAGCTCCAGGCAAAAATGCAAGATATTTTCAAAATATAGCTAAAGCATCTGAATGCCCATGGCTCATGCCTATAATCCTAACTACTTAGAGGCTGGGATCAGAGGATCATACTATAAGGCCAGCTAGGGCTGAAAAGTCCATAAGGCTCCATCTCCAGTTAATCAGCAAAATACCATAGGAGAGACATGGCTAAGGTGGTAGTGTGTAAGCCATGGCAGGAAAGCTGAGAGAGAACACAAAAGCCTGAGTTAAAGCCCTAGTTTTAGAAAACACACCCAAACATAAATATATATTATATATGTATTATAGCATACACAAAACAAAAAAGAGCCCAAGGCGTGGCTCACATGATAAAGCACTTACCTAGCAAGGACAAGAATCTGAGTTTAATCCTCAGTATTGAAAAAAATTATCCGTATTTTTATTTTCAAACTTAATAGTATAAGGACAAAGATGGCAATGTGTTTTTGTTAGATTCACTAATTATTGTAGATAACAGATATTTTTTTCTACATGGGGCTGAGTACTGGTGGCTCGTGCCTGTAATCCTAGCTACTGAGGAGGCTGAAATCTGAGGATCAAGATTTAAAGCCAATTTAGGCAGGAAAGGCTGTGAGACTCTTTATCTCCAGTTTCACCACCTAAAAACTGGAAATTTTTGAGCTTTGAGCTCTGGCTCAAAGTAGTAGAGCACTAGTCTTGAGCAAAAAAGCTCAGGGACAGCAACCATGGCCTGAGTCCAAATCAGTGACCTCCCCCTCCACACACACGCACACACACACACACGCATACGCATGCACGCACACACGCACGCGCGCGCACACACACAAATACACATATACCATACACCACCACCAATACCAACAACAACAAAACATTTAGACTAATGAAACTTTAATTGGATGTTTTGCCAAAGAAAACTTTTAAATCGTGTTATGAAGTGTTTGCCCTCTCTTACTTGGTCTTAGCTTTAATTATAGTTTTTTATGTCTAAAATTATGTCTAACTACTACGCCACTCAGATATAGTTTTTGAGAGAATACTAGCCCTTATGCTCTGATAATGAGATGTTTGCAAAATAAATTTAGATATTCATGACACTGATATTTTATAAAGATGATTTAGTTTCTTTGGAAAATTCAAATTTTGATCTGAGATCATTTTTCAGCAATGATCAGAATTGTGTCAAGAATAGGTAAGGGTGCAAGTGGAGCTGTGGCTAAATGGTAGTTTGCCAGCCTTGAGCAAAAAGCTAAGGAACAGCATCAGGCCCTGAGTTCAAGCGAATATACACAAAAAATTAGGTAACTATATTGTTAGTTCAGTTTGGTCTGCCCTGTCTACTCTTTGTAGCTCTTCTGCATTAGGAAGTTAGTCCCAGAGAAAAATGCCAATTTAATGTAAAAGTAAATTTCATTTCAGGATTGGCCATTTGACGATGGAGCTCCACCCCCTAATCAGATAGTAGATGATTGGCTGAACCTGTTAAAAACCAAATTTCGTGAAGAGCCAGGTTGCTGTGTTGCAGTGCATTGTGTTGCAGGATTGGGAAGGTAACAGCCTTTTGTATCTCATCTGGTTGTCTAGATTTTGATGCCATGTTGTACTTAGTTGTTTTATTTTTTTCTCCATTTTAAGTAATCGAGGATTTAGGCCATTAAAGTGGGTAACAAAATTGGAAATTTCAGCTACTACTGAGAAATTTGCACAGTTAATTTTGGATTGAGAAGAATAGGGAGTTAATAGGTAGAGAACAGATGGTTGAACCTTAAGCTCTTGTAAGATATAGTCAGTGATAGTTGATGTTGATTTTAAAACTTTTTCCTCTGAGCATTGCTTGAAATGGTGTTGTAATAATTTCATCAGTAGCAGATTAAATGCCAATTTATGATGTGCACTTTGACTCAAAACATTTAATGCCAGCTGCCATTGCCTGAAGGTTATTGTGACTCAGGCTGTTAGTTCTGTTTAGATATTTTTAGTGTGGTACAATTTCTTCATAAGTCAGAAGTTCCAGACTAACCCTGAAGGCTGAAGATAGTGTAATAACTTGACTTGGGCAGTTGTATTTCTGATATCTGTTCCCCTTAGGTAGTCCAAATTGATGGCACTATATAATAAGCTTTTTAAAACACCATTTACTTCATGGGGAGCTACAAAATAACCAATTTGACAAGCTTTAGACACTTCAGGCACATTGTCCTTGTTGGTGTGATAATAAGAGGGAATGAATACATTCTGAGACTGGCTTGGAATATGTATATTCTTCCCTTCCCCAAAAGAGGAGGAAAAAAAGAAACATTTCTTTTGCTAGATTCCCCCCCCCCTTTTTTTTTTTGGCAGTATTGGGGTTTGAACTCAGGGCTTTGTACTTTCTTACTTGCTTGCTGATCTGTTGCTCTACCACTTGGGCTGTGCCTCACACCTTTTCTTATCCTTTTCTGTTCATTGTAGAGATGGACTCTTATGGACTTTTCTGCCCAGGCTGGCTTCAAACTGGTGATCCTCTAGATCTCAGCCTTCTTGGTAACTAGGATTACAAACATGCACCGCTGGTACCCAGCTTCTTTGTTAGGTTAAGAAATAGAGAAGTAATGATTGATGATCATTACTCTTACCTTTGGCATTCTTAGCTCAATGAAAGGATTTTTGTTGAAAAATATATATTACCTTTTTAGTATTTAGTAAGGATATACTAAAATTTGTAATAAAATTCTGGGGTAGTGGAGAATAGTATATTTTGCCATTTAGTGTACTTTTTTAAAAAATTAATAGTGTCTCACTGTAGCCTAGGCTAGCCTCACACAATATTACTTACTACAGGTTTAGAATCTAGTGCTTTACCAAAAATAGATAATAGCAGATGTTATATTAAGAGCTATTTCCATTGTATAAGGAAATATCAAATCAGGCATGGTGATTCAAGCCTATAATTCTAGCTATTTAGGCTGTGGATACTAGGGCTTGAAGTTCAAGGCCAATCTGGGTATAGAAGTTTGCAAGACTCCATCTCAACCAATGACTAGGCCAGGTGGTATACCTCTGTCATTCCCAGCAACTGGGAGTGTACATGAAGGAGAGGTGCACAGTCCAAGGTGGCCCAGGCATGCAGCAAGACCTTACCTTAAAAATGACCAGGGCAGAAAGAGGCTATAGGCATGGCTCAAATAGTAGAGTGCCTGAGTTCAATCACTAGTACCACAAGAAAAACAAAGAAAAAGAAAATGCTGTGTGTAAGTATATATGAAGGAATAAAAAACTCAGACTTCGCTAATATGTAATTCTGGGTTAAAGGAAAAAAATCCTTTCAGGCACTTAATGGTGGCTCACAACCTCTTATCCTAGCTACTCAGGCTGCTGAGATCTGAGGATAGTGGTTCAAAGTCAGCCTGGGAAGGAAAGTCTTACCTCCATTTAACCACCAGAAAAGCTGGAAGTGGATCTGTGACTCAAGTAGTAGAGTGCTAACTAGCCTTGAGCAAAAAAGGCTTATTGATAGTGCCCAGGCCCTGAGTTCAAGCCCTAGGACCAGTGTGTACACCATACAAACTCTTTGTGTCTGTTTCTGTCTCTCTGCTTCTACTTCTGCCCCCTCATCCCCCCCCTCCCCCCTCTAATTCTAAAGATTCCTGGATATTTACAAATGGCTTTCTTATTTCAGGGCACCTGTGCTGGTTGCACTTGCTTTGATTGAATGTGGAATGAAGTATGAAGATGCTGTTCAGTTTATAAGACAGTGAGTATGAAGTTTTTTACTCAAAAACAAATTAAGATCAAACAGGAGGAAGGAGTTAAGGAAAGTAGTATGGATTTGGTAATATGGAATTATTAACTATCTTGGATCTTTAACTATTGAAAACAAAAATTTAGGGGCAAATGATATATTTTTTTTAATTTAAGGGTCAAATTTTGACATTGTAGAATATTTCCAGTGTATGATTTGATTACCTAGAAGTCTTGGTTAAATAGCATCTCATGATACATTTCCCCTTTTTAGTAGGTTGCAAAATGCCTTCTGGATGTAATATTGTATGACCAAGAGAAAAAAAGAATGTACAGAGAAACAGTTTAATTACCTGAGATTCTAAGTGACTTGTTCAGGCACAAAATCTTGATGGTAGTACCCAAACAGAATCTTGGCATTGGGCTGAAATAGTGGGCCGTACTGTTTTATTGTCTAGAATTATTTGGCAATTATTGTCTTGCTCTTACCATTTGAACCCTATCTTCAAAATAAAAAAGAAAAGAAAAACAATAATAAAAATAAATGACAGAATTCAGGTGCCAGTGGCTGTCATGTCTATAATCTTATACCAGAAGGCTGTTAATCTGAGAATCATAGCTCAAAGCCAGCTTGGGTAGACACATCCATGAAATTATTTCTAACTAATCAGTAAATAGACAAAAATGGATGTGTGGCTCAACGGTAGAGCCACTAGAGAGGAAGAACACGAGCAAGAACTTGAGGCCATGAGTTCGAAATCCCAGTACCTGCACCAGGAAAAATAAGACTGATAGTGTGAAATGTATGGTAGCCATCTGTGTATGTCTTGAGCTTGTTGCTTCATGTTAATATGTTTTGAGGCATTCACTGAAATATATTACCACCCTAAAGCTACTGCACATTGCATCCCCTTAGTCTTCTTTCTAAACTGAAGAATACATTAATTGTAAAGAGAATGATCAGACAACTGGACAAATAATACTGATATTTACTTAATACTAGCAATGAAAAAATGTCTGTATTTCTTAAGAAGGATTAGGAAATTTATGTTACAATTTAGATCTTTTAAAATGTGATGCGGGGAAAAGTGAAAAGTGGTGTAATATGGGAAATCTGCTGGTTTTCAGCACAGTGGGGCTGTTAGAAGGACTTAAGCCATAAATAATGTGTTTTGGTAAATCAGCTTTCTTTTTTTTCCAATAATATGAGAATGTGTGCTGTTCTTACTTTTTCAGAAAAAGAAGGGGAGCATTCAATTCCAAACAGCTGCTTTACTTGGAGAAATACCGACCTAAGATGCGATTACGCTTCAGAGATACCAATGGGCATTGCTGCATTCAATAGGAAGAGACAAAGGCTTACTTGATTGTGTCATTTAGAGGAAACTCTTGGTACCTGGAAATGTGAATCTGGAATCTTACCTGTGTCATCAAAGTAGTAGTGATGGATTCAGTATTCCTCAACTTCTAATGATTGGGGGAAAAAAAACCCAAAAAGGTCCCTCTATAACATGAATAAAATATTTGAGAAAGGAAAAGGATTAATTCCATGAAGGGTGATTTAGCTCCGAGTTTTGGAGTTTTAATTTCTGCCAGGATAGAATGATTTCATAATCTCCTTTTTTAACTTTTTCAAAATTGTCTCTAAGGAAAACCAGCAAAATATTAACCTGTGCAGAACCATCTGTTTGGGGAGCACATTCTTCCATTATGCTTGGCACATAGACCTTGAGGATTTGTGGGGTAAGGAGTATATTTTTCCCCTTTTTTCTCCCATCTCCTGCCCCCTGCCTTCCCTTGGTAAACATTGTAAATGGTATAGAAGCCCTTGTTGCTGTAGATGTGCGTGCAGTCTGGCAGCCTTAAGCCCACCTGGGCACTTTTAGGGAGGGAAAAAAAAGCACCAGGAAAAAAAAAAAAAGAACAGTTGCAGATGCACATATATATATGACCCAGGTGGTTTTTAGTCTTTACTGATGATGGGGTGTTCATAGTTTCTTTTCTTCAAAGCCCCAATCTAACATTAGGCAAAGTAGCCAGGAGCCTTTTGTTTTTGTAAATTACTGGGAAATGGAATTTGAAGAGGAGTGTGCTCGTACAATTTAGCTGAAAGTAGAAATCTTTCTCAACCATTGAAGCTAAATGGGTATCCTAGAAGCTTGCTTGCTGAAGATGACAGCTCAGGCCATTATTAAGATGTTTCCAGGCAGAGAATTAGTACAAAGTGGTACACTGTAGATTTGGGGGCTCTAGCTCTATTCTGACTTTTCTGTCTAATTATGTCAGAATACTTATAGCTTCAAATTATTTTAGGACTTAACTTGTACCCTAGATTTCCAGAAACAAAGGAGCAACCGCAAATTCACCGTATTTTGGTTTTGAGAAATGCCTGGGTGGTTATTTCCAAACTGCTCCCTATATGTACAGTTCAGCTTAGCCACTGATTGCCTTGTTATTTTCTTACTAGGTTCTTTCTGAGATAAGGAAAAAAAAATCACCAGTTTGGAATTAGCAATGCCTAGTAAGTGTGTGTCCACAGGCTATACCAGGGTAAACAAGCAATACCAAGCAGCCCAGATCAGTAGCAAAGGGACCGTGTTGCTTGGGAGGTGGTATGGTGGTATGCTTGCAGATTCTCCTCTGGATTCAACACTTTTCTCATTTGCAGAAGGCAGTTACAACCAGGCTGCAATGACAAAGGGAGTGGAGAGACTTTGTCAGGGGCTCTTACTCTTATTTTTCACGTAAAAATTAAATTTCAGATTAGTATTGTCCCGCTTCTAAGGCTCTGAATCCAGGCTTAGAGTCATCATGTCCCACGGGAATTTGCTGTGCCCAGCTATAAGCTTCTCATTTTGTAGCATCAGCTAGGCCAGTAGGAATGGACTGGGACCTCGTCTCACACTGATGATAATACCTCACACATTGGCCAGCTATGTGAACTGCCTCTTTACTATTGCCAGAGTTTTTATTTTTAAGTGCAAATGTGTAGATTTTCTCCTCCCTCATACCAGAAGATAAAAATAATGCCTTTTGCCATTCATTCTAGAATTTTAAAGTTAAAAAAATGATGGTACTAACCAAAATTTTATTTTTGAATATGACAATAGATAATATAGACTCAAGATCAGAACATCATACCTTCTAAGTGTAGATAAGGCTGTTGATTCTAAGAGTTTTGATCAATAGCATCAAAAAACTTCTCAGTTGACATGCTGTAAATTTTATTGACTGTGCCCATCAGTGTCAGTACCTGCCCAAGGAAAATTACATTCCTGGTTTTGTGTGAGAAAGGTGTATAAAGCAAAATGAACATTTGACCTTATTTTGTTTTAAATTACAAGCTGATGTTCTTAGAACTGGAT